TTAATAATAGGGGGAAGAGATTAATGCAAACCAGCAGCTGGAAATGCAAACGCAGTTTATTTATCGATGCTTGTGCAGCCCGTTATATGCGGTTCGACTGCATAGGACGGTAGCTACAGACCCGGACCCCAAAGCAAAACTACTTATCATCTGGGGTCTGAGAAGTACCAGTTGCCCATTCGTGACGTAAGCTGTAGTACCTGCACCAAGCTAGCTCAATTTGGCCTTTCCGGTTCCAACATGGCCCTTGTGTGAACAAGTTTTGAAATTAACAGAGCCCATATAGGTCAGCTCTGCTTCTCTGTGACCTACCGCACGGAAGTGGCGGCTTTGGCCGGGGCGCTGCAGGCAGCCAAGTCCGATGACATGCTTCAATTTCGGTGACTGTCAGACCAAGAGAGCTATTATACTGAGGAATGATGATAAAATACTACGAAAAATAAAAACAGAACACTAGCAATCATATGCTTTGTTCAGGTGCTTGGCGAAGCTGAGCTTTCCAAGAAGCGCAAGGCGCGTCCAACTGTACTTGATGCCAGACTGTAGACTGTAGGCATCTACAAGGCCCATATCAGCATTTACGAGGTTGGGAATACCCCTAGGCCAGGGCGGAGCAGGCTCGGCGCCTCCATCGTTGTTGTGCATTGAGCCCGACATTCTGGCAGCGGACACTTTTCTGACAGAATCCGAGACAGTTCGACCTGCGGAGTCTGCATTGCAGGCACTCAGTGCCGTAGAAGAGGAGGAGGCGAGCAAGAAGAAGGTGAAGAAGGTCGTCCCTCGTCCTGTTGGCTTTGCATGCTCTGCGCTTGCATGAGGCTTGCACGGTATACCTGTGCGATGCCATGTCATGAGTAAAAGTGTGGCGGATTGGGTATATGTACCTCAAGTTTACATGGTATATATATATATATAGAGAGAGAGAGAGGGAGAAAGAAATACGTGTCTATATATGCATATGCATATAGACGGTAGGCCGTATACGTAGGTATATATGGGTATCAATACTGTACACACATACCTACCTGCCTACCTACACCTGCCTGAACCCACCCACCTGCCTACCTACCTCGGTTGCGTGTACGCGTTTATGTGTGTATGTACTCTTTACGTATGAATGTATGACAATGATTGTCTGTTTGTGTGCATGCATCCATGCATGCGAGTTTGGACGGATGGATGCATGAATTGATGGATGGATGCATCGATGTGTTTTTCTGGTGAGACCATTGCACCCATGTTCGTGTATGAATATTTTTTATGTACATGCATACATACGTGCATGTTTGCATTCATACAGCTATATAGATGTATATGGACATATACACATATGAGTACTACGGCGCATGTACCATCATCCTTGTCTCTGTTTTTCTATTCGTATGTTGGTGCATTTGGGCGGTGAGCATGCTTCAGACGGCTGCGCGGCTGCAGGCAACTGCGGAGGGGGGGAGGGTGCAACTGCATGTGGTCGATTGAACAAATATTTATTTCGTAGGAACTCATGGAGGGCAGTGTTTAAAACATGTCTGTTAGCTGTTGGGACATGCATTTCCCCAGCGGCAAGAACGAGCAATGTCACTTTGAATGTCGCCTCAATAGTGGTTGCACTGTGTTGCACCCCACGATAATGGGGCAAGCGTTTCCCTTTCGGAAAAGAAACATCTCTGACCGAGAACCCTGCGGCATGAGTTGTGGTTGCACTTGTGCTCCAAAATTGAGCACAAATACTGGTTCTGATTTTGCTAAAAGTAACTGCTCTATTCTGCTACGGCTATTTTCCGAATGACACAGGATGTAACATTGTAGGCACGAGTGTTGCCGAAGTTGCTTGCTGTCGGGCACCTATAGCTGCTTCTCCCATGTCGGTCGCTGCCCAATTTGGATTGCCACAGTTTCCTCAGGAAGTTGCGGCCGCGCAGGATGACTTGTCACAGGTGCGGACCTTTGATTGCGGTGCTATAGTCCTGTACCCTGTACTGCAGCCCTATAATAATCTAAATCGGTAATTATCTAAGTTGTTTCTGCAGCGAGTTTGATTGCGGTTGGTTCCCACCTTTCAGCATGCGGATGTGGTCAAGCTTCTCCTTTTCCGCCGAGGCAACAGCGCGGACTAAGCGAGTTGACATGAGTTTATGTGTTTTGCCGATGGCTGAGTGTGTATATCCAGATAAGTGCACCCGGCAACGGCTGGCAATGTGTGCCATTATGTATGTTTCGCAGCCGTTTGAAACCTTATCCTATCACTACTAAGCAGCCACTGTTGAGAGTGTTGGTGTTTACTGACTTTACGGTTTAGGGCTGTCAGGGTTTAGGGCTTTCACAAGGTTTGTGGGTTTGGGCAGTGTACGTGCAGCTGAGAGAGGCAAAAAGACCTCAAGTCATAAACTCGTAAACCTAAGACGCTAGTCCTTAAACCCGTATTGCCAGGTCACCACGAAGAGGGACGTGCAGCCAGATGTGGAGGCCTACCGCTACCATACCTATATAGTCATATATCCTAAACACAGTAGAACGCTAAACCCTAAACCCGTTTATTTTCAGGAAGCCGTCCGGCCCTTCGGAATAGTATTGCGTACATACGAATACTTCCGAAACGAGGAGAGGTAGCTTGTTTAGGGCCCTGAAAATGGTCCCATGAATCAAGTTGTATTCAAGATCAGGGCTCCGTCTTTTCTGCAACTCACAAGCATATTTCTTTCAAGACAGCGCATCGGGTACGTAACAGACTGCACTTCGAGTAGAATAGGAGGTACGAAGTATTAAGCGATGCGGGGAATCGTTGACGAGCCTTCGTCAGGCGATGGTAGGATGCCAATTTCAAGTTTCGAGAAACCATGGAGGACCCTAACCCCCCAGGTACCTACTATATAGGGTACTAGAGCCCCTAGGGCCCTATATAGTAGGCACCTGGTGGGTAAGGGGGACATATTTCAACAAGTTCAAATCATTAGCCGATTCAGGCAATGATCACACAAAAGGATGGAGCTTGACTGATTTCAGGCCGTTGCATGCAACCGTTCCAGGTGGTGGAGTCTCCTTTCTTTGCAGCCTTGTCGGTTGAGTGTCGTGCGTTCACGATGACTCCAGACTTAGATGGTGCAATGCAGAAATGCATCAAGACGATTGGGTTCGAAGCCCCCCCCAACTCTCGTGAAGTCGGTGTTCGGATTGTTTCCTGCATGGCTTCCTTTGAGATCTTCATTCGCTTCGTTGCTTTCTCTCAAGCGACGCTCTGCGGCAGCCTCACATGTCCACACCTGGCGGTAAAACAGCTGCAGGGCAGCTCTATTTTAAACCGTAAGCTGCTAGCAGGTCATTGGCGTTCGCAGCTTCCAGATTCCTCAGCTACAACTGGAAGTGCGGCGAGCGCTTCCCAGGGAATGGGTGCACTTCCGGGACCACCACTACAAGGACAGATGAGCCTTCTGTCTGTGCATGAAGGCATGTGAGGACCGTGAGGATGAACAACTTAAGCTAGCTCTCAATGGAGGTATGACGCTAGCATAGACCGGAATTCTCGGAATCCTTATCAAGGGACCCTTAAACGGTGGTGGCATAGTTTTGGGACTCCGGCTACATTGGATCAACCAAGCGACCTTGGAAAATTAGCAATCTAGGATACCCCCTACCTGATCATGTTGGGATTAGGGCCTTGCCCATAGACTGCCCTTGAAACCGGCCCTTTTAAACCCTTGTACGGAAGCCCTTGCAGAAGGCTTGGTCGTATATACGCTGCCTAGAGATTCTAGAAAGTGGTGCTTTCCTGGGGGACCCATTCTAGGGTTCGGATCCTATTAATAACTGCATTCTACGGTCTAGGCCTCACTAGAGCGTACCTCAGTTTGGGAGCATAGCGCCAGAAAAGGATGAAAGGCTTTCGAGGTTCCCTTGAGGGTTCCGTTAAATATGGTTACAACTGTCATTGGACATTTCATTTTCAGCATTGTTGGTGTTGGTGGTGGTGGTGTTGGTGGTGGTGGTGGTGGTGGTGGTGGTGGTGTTGTTTTGGTGTTGCTGGTGGTGGTGGTGCTGGCAGTGGTGGTGGTGGCGGTGG